GGAAAGGAAGGGGCTCGGGGAGCGCGGGCCTGGCGCGCGGGGCTGGGCGGGGCTGAGGGGAGGGGGCGCGCGCCTCCGAACGCGGCGGGCGCGGGGCTAAGTGGGGACGCGGGAAGGGGGACGCGCGCCGCAAATCGCGACCAGACCGGCGCGCGCACGCGCGGGGGCTTTTTGATGGAAGCCGCGCCCGCGCGCGGGAAAACCGGCCCCCAGTGACCGTTACCCGCTTGGTGTCCACGCGAGACGCAGGAAGGGGAGGGAAGAGAAGGGGGACGGACCCCTTCCTTAGACTGAGGGTACAAGGGACTCTGCAGGGAGAGAGTGTTTACTTTCATCGAGAACAGGGTATGGTTTGGGGTAGAGAATTCTCCCCGAAGTGGGGAATGGTGGCCTCCCTAATATGAAAGCTGGACTCCCCCACGTGCATGGAAAAGGGGGTGACTCCGTATGTTGGAGGCTCTTACGTGTGAGGAAAGCTGCGTGAGAGAAGGATGAGGGGCACCTCTGAGGGGTAGGAGAGCCCAACCGTAGTCGCTGTGGAGCCAGCAGCTGGAGATGTTAGTTGGCACCACTGTGGGGTTGCAAATGCAAGTTAAAAGCTTTGGGAGAGGCATGGGAGTGAGAGGAAAGCGTGGGCAGAGGCTGAGTCTCCAGTAGGCCTTGCCTAAGTGCAGAGGGGGGAGTGCACGTGAAATTTTGAAAAGCTCTTGTGCATTTTTAGGTTGGCAGCTGAGAGTATGTCGTCATGAGTTTAAGTTTGATATTTGTAATGGGAGGTAGAAAATCTTAAACATTTCAAAAAGCTGAAACAGGATGAGAACTGATTACACTTTGAATAAATGTTTTATGATATTTAATAAATGGCTTCTAAAGCACATTAAGAAAGAATGTGCCTTGAATCAGGAAGAAATACATGTTGAAAAATCTGTATCTTGAAAAATGTTGGTAGACTCAGCAACATTCCAAGTATATTTAAAAGATTTGATGTCACTAACCTATACTGCTTTGTGTGTTCCTGAATTCAGAGCATACCCTTCACAGAAATGTGGATGAGACTGAGAGTAAAAATGCAGTGTGGAAAAAATACACTTTGTGGGTTTAAGGTGCCCAGAGTAATCATTCAAAGACACTTCTTGTGAAGTAGTACCATTTCACAATCTCTTATTCATTATTCCAAACTAGAAAGACCTGAAAACCAAAATATTTTTCTTCAACTGCCCTTCATGACAAAAGTAGATTATAAAGTGGAGACTATCTTACATCATCATTTCTCCTATTTAATTTGGAAAATTCATACATGTGCTTCAGAACTGTGGGGGTGTTAGGTAAGGAATGGGACATACCTAGGAAGACACCTGTAAAATCCAAAAAATTTTGAATTTCAAAAAAACATCAGGCCCCAGGAGTTTCTGATAAGGGATTGAGGACCAGTCTTTCCAGTTATGCCTTTGTTTGGTGTCTTGGAGGTTTTAATCCCATCCTCACTCCGCCCCCCTCAGGGCTGTGTACCCTACTGAGTTGGGAAGTTCTTTCTTTTGCAAAGTGGGGAGAAAGGTGATCAGGTCCTGAACCCCAGGCAGGTTTGCTGGAATGAAGATTTAGGAATAGTGTAGAGGGAGCTTGAAGCTCTGGAAATAGATTCCTTTAGGACAATCCATGTAGCAAATCCCACTTCGAGGTCCACTGCTCCAGGGATAACCTTGGATAGTGAGCATCAGGGTTCAAGGACATGGTACATTCATGTTACAGAAGAGTCTCAACATTGGGGAAGGCCCGTGGGTGACATTTCTCTGACATTTGGGCAGTCCTTGATGCTAAATAATGAACGCTAGAAAAAATTTTGAGATGTCCCAGGAGAACTTGGGGTCCCTTTTGACCCTCGGCCTGGTCAGGCTGCCAGTAATAGTTCTTTCTGGTCCCCTTGTTCTAGGCTGCAGCGTATGTTGCAAATCTTCTTGGAATCAGCTGCAGGACCTGTGCCGCCTGGCCAAGCTCTCCTGCCCTGCCCTTGGCATCTCTAAGAGGAACCTGTATGACTTTGAAGTCGAGTACCTGTGTGATTACAAGAAGATCCGCGTAAGTCTGGGGTAGTGACCATGTCCTGGGGGAGGGCTGGTCTCCAGGAAGTTGGCTTCCAGTCCTCTTGCCCTCCACTGCCAGCATCTTTTTCCAAAGGGAATTTTCTTCTCTGATCTTGAAAAAAAAAATAGGATGAACAGACCCATTTTACAGATGAGGAAATCAAGTGGCTTTCTGAGCAGGCAGAAGGCAGAATGAATCCCCAAATAAATCTCTCCTCCCACCTCCCTAGGGATTCAGTTTTAGTATATGTGCTGCCGAAGCGAGCACCTCCCTAGGGATTCAAACCAACAGCAAAACTTGGGATCCTGAGCCCAGGAATGGAGGTGATGCTAGTTAAGGCTGATTGAGCACCTTAAGTACGCTAGGCACTTCCTCTCAGAAACTCATTTAATTCTCTCAACAACACTGTGAAGTGTGAACTATTATCATTGCCAGAGGAGGTAATGGCAGAATAGTGAGGAAAAACAGATTGGCAGCAACACACACGGGTTCAAATCCTGATGGGGTAACCCCAGACTGTTTACCCCAACTCTCAATGCTTCATTTTCCTCATCTGTAAAATGTACTTGACAAGTTTTACCTTCCTCATAGAGAGCTGTATCATATTCTTAATAATACATGTAGGTTTAAGTTGCTTGGAACAGTAGCTGCTATGCTAGACAAATGTTTGCTATTTTCTTATTTTCAGATGAGGAAGCTGAGGCTCAGCAAAGTTACATACTTGCCTAAGGCCTTACAACTAGGGAGCAGCAGAATCAGGATTTGTATCCACAATGTCCAATTGTAGCATCTATGCTACTACACTATCCTATGGTTGCCTCCAGAGTGAAAGCTGCTGTGTGTGGAGAACAGCCTATAGGGGGTGAGGGCAGAAGCAGGGGGACTGATGAGGTGTGGCTGCTGCCTGAGTCCCTATAAGCCCTGATAGTGGCAGTGATGATGGTAGAAGGGGTGGGGTTCTGGATATATTTTGAAGGTGGAGTCTCAGGATGTGCTGAGGGTGGGTGTTGGGAATCAACAAAAGAGGAATCAAGGATGACCCTGGGAGTTTGGGCCTGAACTGCTATAAGGAGGGAGCAAGATGGGGAAGATGGGTGCAGGGGGATTAAATTAAAAGTTGGAATTTGGACAGATTAGAAGGGGGAGATTTGAACCTAGTAATCCTCCAGAGCTCATTCGCTTTAACTACTATGCTGCATGGAGGCATTTCAGAAAAGGAGTGGGGCAGAGTGGGTGCCATCCATTGGCTTTGGGATGGAAGCCCTAAGAGGGCTGGCTCCAAGGTCTTGCCATTTATGGTACCCCATGCCCCCACCCACCTCCCAACAGGAACAGGAGTATTACTTGGTAAAGTGGCGTGGATACCCAGACTCAGAGAGCACCTGGGAGCCACGGCAGAATCTCAAGTGTGTACGCATTCTCAAACAGTTCCACAAGGACTTAGAAAGGGAGCTGCTTCGGCGGTATCACCGGTCAAAGCCACCCCGGCACCTGGACCCAAGCTTGGCCAACTACCTGGTGCAGAAGGCCAAGCAGAGACGGGCACTTCGGCGCTGGGAGCAGGAGCTCAATGCAAAGCGCAGCCATCTGGGACGCATCACTGTGGAGAATGAGGTGGACCTGGACGGCCCCCCACGGGCCTTCGTGTATATCAATGAGTACCGCGTTGGTGAGGGCATCACCCTTAACCAGGTGGCTGTGGGCTGTGAGTGCCAGGACTGTCTGTGGGCCCCCACTGGAGGCTGCTGCCCAGGGGCATCACTGCACAAGTTTGCCTACAATGACCAGGGCCAGGTGCGACTGCGGGCTGGGCTGCCCATCTACGAGTGCAACTCTCGCTGCCGCTGCGGCTATGACTGCCCCAATCGTGTGGTACAGAAGGGCATACGCTACGATCTCTGCATATTCCGCACAGATGATGGGCGCGGCTGGGGTGTCCGCACCCTGGAGAAGATCCGCAAGAACAGCTTCGTCATGGAGTACGTGGGAGAGGTAGGGAAATGGGACAAAGCGTGCATATGCGGCTCTTCCTACCATGTGTCTGCAGCTTGTACACCCAGCTCTTCTCCTTGGGTGCCTGGAGCTACCTTACCTTTCCTGTGGGAAAGGCCTGGAAGGTTGAGCTGAGTGTCCCAGGGACCTCCTAGCTGGGCTAGTGGCTAAAAAACACTGAAATGCTTCTGGCCTGGGTTGATTCCCTAAGGGTACCTAGCAAAGAAGAAAAAGTGGGAACTGAGATCCAGGCAGTATTCCTTTTAACAGGCCATGCAGTCTGGTACAGGATTGCATCACCTGAAAAGACACTTCTCTTTTCCTTTCTCAAGAGTCCATCTTATCAACAGGCAGTATCTGCTCAGAAAGAGCACCTTTTACTAGTCTGTACAAAAGGAACATAAGCATTCTGGCTTGGGGTGTAGATAAGCCTTGGTTGGAGGTTGGCTGCCTCTCCTCTAGACTTTCAGGACACTGGGGAAAGTCCAGGTATACAAGGGGTCCTCAAGAAGTTATGGAAAAAGTATATTATGAAAGAACTATGCATGGATTTTTTTTGGTACCAAAATCAACTTGTACTTTAATTCCATTTTTTTCCACAAACTTTCTGAAGCCCCTCATAGTAGGTAGGCCAGGCACTGTAATGAACAATCCCCACCTTAGTGGCTTCACATATCAGAAGTGTGTCTGCTTGTGGAGTAGTCCTTGTGGCTGTTTCGGCAGGTCTGTGGTGTGGATGGGCAACTTGGACACCCAGGCCCTTTCCCTTTTGTGCTTTTGCTATGCCTTAGAGCCTTGGAGTGGCCACTAGATCCTCAGCATTGTGTGGCAGGCAGGCCAAGCAGGGGACAAAAGGGAAGATTTCTCTTGGGGCAGGCCTGGACACAGTGTATATCACTTCTGCCCACACTTCATTGGCTGAACGTGAGTCACACCTTTCCTTGGGACATGGGAGACAGGGGATATGCTTTAGCCTGTGCCCAAGTGGGAAACAAAAGGGGTCTGGGTGTCTGCAAGAGGAAGTGCCACATTCTAAGGTGGAGTGTTATGAGTGTTCAGTGTGGGGTAATTCTGTCATGAAGAACTGTCCCGTGTATTGGAGGTCATTTGGCATCTCTGAATCTTGACTGAGTGTGCCCTATCACAGTGACAATCCCAAATACCTCCACATATTTCCATAGGTCCCTCAAGGGTGTGATATGATTGGAAAGTAACAGAAATTGACCTGAGGGACACACAGCTGAAGTGTCCACATTGTAGTAATGATACTGATGACAAGGAAAGGCTCCCATTCTGAGGAACCATAGAGAGGGTCAGACCCCAGAGGGACAGAGACAATCTTGAGACAGAGCAGTCTGCACCACAGAAGACCCTGACAGTCTAGAGGAGGAGACTGCCACACCCCCAGACAACCCTTATGGTCCAAACACTGAAGTACCTGGCAGTCTGGAGAAGCAGGAAGTGGCCACACCCAGAGGGTTCCTGACAATCTACAGGAAGAGGTGTCCATGTCCCCAAGTGACCCTGATGACCTGGAGGAAGAGCTCGAGCTCTCCACATTCCCGATGACCTTGGTGGTCTGCCTTAGGAAGTGCCCACACCCACACTGTCTTGACAGGAAAAAAGAAGTGTCCTCACCACGGAGGGACCTGGATGGCCTGGAAGAGATCAGGTCTACACCCAAGAGTACCCTAAGAGTTCACAGGAAATGTCCAAACCCTTAGTGTCCTGACAGGATGGAGCGGTCATCCAGACCTCATTGGGTCTCTGACCATCTGGAGGAGGGCATGTCTAGGTCCCACAGGGCCCCCCAAAGTCCTAGAAGTCATCTCAGCAGGCAGTGTCTCAGCTTCTCTGTACTGAGGTCTGGAGAAAGAGCTGTCTACCACACAGGACCCTGAGAGTTGAGGAGGAGTAAGGGCCTAACCCTCCATGCCCCCTGGGTTCGATTTTCCGGCTTCTCTCCCTTAGTGTCCCTATATACCTCCACACTAGGAATATCAGGGTTTCCAGGGGCCTTGTCACCCCTGTCCTCACCCTCCTTGCTCTCAACACTGTCTCATGGCCTCCCTTTTATTATTATGTTATTATGTGTAAAGCATTTGAAATAAGCACTTGAATAGTATTCAGTACACAGTAAGTCTCATGGAAATGTTAACTAGTTCAGAATGCAGAAAACCCAAAATGCTTAGAAAGCCAAAAGGTGTTTGTAACTTACCTTGCTACAAAATTCAACCTGACTTTGTTGGGGTCATTTTGTAATCCTTCTTTATCCCACTTGGGGTGACAATCATAGATTTCATTGCAAAACTATTTACTGGACTATGTGGTACTGTCTCAGACACTCGCAGAGGTTTATGTAATCGAGGCAAATAGAACCCTCTGCACTTGTAGGCCACATACACTTTCCTTTCACAGTCAGGATCCAATGGTTCCTTCCTGTACACCCGCCCACATTCAGTCAGAACCTTCATGTACCTGCAGAACATTTCCACCCTCACCCAGCAGAGGATGCTAGTGTATTTTATCCATTTTAAAACATGCATTTTCTTTATAGCCATAACTACTAACTTTTCCAGTGTCCTAACAAAAAGACACCTTTGATATCCATGATCTCGTCATATATTTACAACAGCTTCTGTCAGATTGGGTTTTTGTCACTATCGTTCTTACAGATGAGAACATTGAGGTGCAGAGAGATATAGTAACTTGTTCATAGTCACAAAGCTAATAAAGTGGGTGAAAAAAATAAATTCCAAAGTATCTAAAACTGGTGTTCTGCCAGGCCTAGTGGCCTTTTTCTTTCATTCTTTTCTCGTTTTGTTTTGTTTTGTTTTGTTTTGTTTTGTTTTGTTTTGTTTTGTTTTTGTAGTAGGCCGCCTGTGCTCACTGGAGAAAGAGAGAGGGAAAGTGTGAAATCACCCCCCAGAGAGGATGGCCACATCACAGTCCCTCCTCCTCCATTCTCTCAGGATTTTGGACGTGCATGCATACCTTCTCAGTGTGTCTTTCAAGCCACCAGGGGGACTTGAACCACAGTCAGCTATCTGGGATCCAGCCACCTTAATCACTATGCCACCTGGCTGGCTTCTTCCTTCCTTCCTTTTCTTTTTTTCCTTCTTTCTTTTTCTTTCTCTATCTCTTATTTTTTTCGACTAAGGAAACTGGCTCAGAGAGAAGATCCTATATCCAGGAGAGGGCAGGGCAGCACAGCAGCTGACTCTTAGTCTTCTAGTTGTGTTCCCAGTTCCCATCAGCGCCCATTCTAAACTGACTGCTTACAGCCTGTCTTCCCCATTCATTCTAGAGAGCTGCTAGGGAGGAGGGGCACAGGATCCATAATTTTCAGAGTGCACCAGCCATTACAGAGTAGGACTGAAAAGAGGAGAGAAGGAACCGTTTGTGCCCTGGAGGGCTTACTGTATGACTCACTCCTAGTAAGACTGGGGGAGCAAGTAGGGGCAGAAGAGACAGGAAGATGGAGATGAGAACTGAGGACGTGGGCATTCCCTCTGTCTCAAGGAGGTGCTACAATTAAAGAGAAGGTTCAGATACCACCCAGTAGGCTGTTGCTGGCTGGCGATCCTGGGAGAAGCTGCCCTTTGATCCCTGAGCTTAATTAGAGAGGTGGCCAGGAAGGCTGCTGCCTACAGAAATAACTTTTGAGGGAGGAAGACTGCTTATTCTCTAAGAGTTGGAGGAGAACTGACCTTGACTTACTCTACCTCTAAACACTCCTTTGGCTTCCACTCTGTCTCTCAGCACAGGAGAGAGTCCCCATTCCTCCATCCAGTATCAAAGCCCTTTTATGATCTGCAGCTTGCTTTCAAAGATGCATCACTTTTCCATTCCCCCCCGGAACACTAAGTACTGTTTTTCCTGATCAACATCTTGCCCTGTAGTTTTTTCTCTGTCACTAGGCTGTGACCTCTGAGGGTGGGGAACAAGCCCGATATCTGTGTGTCCCACACCCAACTGTGATCCCTGAGAGCAGGGCCTAGGTACAGGGTACACTTAGATAATAATCCACCAAATGAATACATAATCAAACAGAACTTGGGTACAAGGGAGCTAGGTTCCTCAAGGAACAGAGCTAGCACCTGTGTCAGTCAGTGGTGTGGCCCCAGGAGGGAATCTTGGTTAGAAAAGGCATGGTGATGGGGACCAGCAGGTGGCATGGTGGTTAAGGCACTAGACATTCCCACATGGCTGACCATGGTTCAAGTCCTGGACCTGGTGGCTTGCTTTCTCACTTTCTCTCTATGTGTCTCTCTCTGGTCAAAATAAAATAAGTAAGTGAATAAATAAAAATGAAAAATAAATAATTCTTAAAAAAAAAAAAAAAGAAAAGGCATGGTGAACCAGCATTTGGACAAGCATAGGCTGGAGGTTCTACTGTAAGATGCAGGGAATAGACAGCAAGGACACGACATGGCCATCCTGGCTAGGTTAAAAAAAAAAAAAAAAAAAGACCAGGGTAATCAAGAAAAGGGCACAGATTTCAAAGTCAGAAGAGTGTGGTCACTAGCCCACATGAGGGTGAGCAAGACAGGGTTCTGGGTTTGTGTCCAGTGAACTTTTCCAGTGTCCTAACAAAAAGACACCTTTGATATCCATGATCTCGTCATATATTTACAACAGCTTCTGTCAGATTGGGTTTTTGTCACTATCGTTCTTACAGATGAGAACATTGAGGTGCAGAGAGATATAGTAACTTGTTCAGAGTCACAAAGCTAATAAAGTGGGTGAAAAAAATAAATGCCCAAGTATCTAAAACTGGTGTTCTGCCAGGCCTAGTGGCCTTTTTCTTTCATTCTTTTCTCGTTTTGTTTTGTTTTGTTTTGTTTTGTTTTGTTTTGTTTTGTTTTGTTTTGTTTTGTTTTGTTTTGTTTTGTTTTGTTTTGTTTTGTTTTGTTTTGTTTTGTTTTGTTTTGTTTTGTTTTGTTTTGTTTTGTTTTGTTTTGTTTTGTTTTGTTTTGTTTTGTTTTGTTTTGTTTTGTTTTGTTTTTGTAGTAGGCCGCCTGTGCTCACTGGAGAAAGAGAGAGGGAAAGTGTGAAATCACCCCCCAGAGAGGATGGCCACATCACAGTCCCTCCTCCTCCATTCTCTCAGGATTTTGGACGTGCATGCATACCTTCTCAGTGTGTCTTTCAAGCCACCAGGGGGACTTGAACCACAGTCAGCTATCTGGGATCCAGCCACCTTAATCACTATGCCACCTGGCTGGCTTCTTCCTTCCTTCCTTTTCTTTTTTTCCTTCTTTCTTTTTCTTTCTCTATCTCTTATTTTTTTCGACTAAGGAAACTGGCTCAGAGAGAAGATCCTATATCCAGGAGAGGGCAGGGCAGCACAGCAGCTGACTCTTAGTCTTCTAGTTGTGTTCCCATCAGCGCCCATTCTAAACTGCCAGCTTACAGCCTATCTTCCCCATTCATTCTAGAGAGCTGCTAGGGAGGAGGGGCACAGGATCCCTAATTTTCAGAGTGCACCAGCCATTACAGAGTAGGACTGAAAAGAGGAGAGAAGGAACCGTTTGTGCCCTGGAGGGCTTACTGTATGACTCACTCCTAGTAAGACTGGGGGAGCAAGTAGGGGCAGAAGAGACAGGAAGATGGAGATGAGAACTGAGGACGTGGGCATTCCCTCTGTCTCAAGGAGGTGCTACAATTAAAGAGAAGGTTCAGATACCACCCAGTAGGCTGTTGCTGGCTGGCGATCCTGGGAGAAGCTGCCCTTTGATCCCTGAGCTTAATTAGAGAGGTGGCCAGGAAGGCTGCTGCCTACAGAAATAACTTTTGAGGGAGGAAGACTGCTTATTCTCTAAGAGTTGGAGGAGAACTGACCTTGACTTACTCTACCTCTAAACACTCCTTTGGCTTCCACTCTGTCTCTCAGCACAGGAGAGAGTCCCCATTCCTCCATCCAGTATCAAAGCCCTTTTATGATCTGCAGCTTGCTTTCAAAGATGCATCACTTTTCCATTCCCCCCCGGAACACTAAGTACTGTTTTTCCTGATCAACATCTTGCCCTGTAGTTTTTTCTCTGTCACTAGGCTGTGACCTCTGAGGGTGGGGAACAAGCCCGATATCTGTGTGTCCCACACCCAACTGTGATCCCTGAGAGCAGGGCCTAGGTACAGGGTACACTTAGATAATAATCCACCAAATGAATACATAATCAAACAGAACTTGGGTACAAGGGAGCTAGGTTCCTCAAGGAACAGAGCTAGCACCTGTGTCAGTCAGTGGTGTGGCCCCAGGAGGGAATCTTGGTTAGAAAAGGCATGGTGATGGGGACCAGCAGGTGGCATGGTGGTTAAGGCACTAGACATTCCCACATGGCTGACCATGGTTCAAGTCCTGGACCTGGTGGCTTGCTTTCTCACTTTCTCTCTATGTGTCTCTCTCTGGTCAAAATAAAATAAGTAAGTGAATAAATAAAAATGAAAAATAAATAATTCTTAAAAAAAAAAAAAAAGAAAAGGCATGGTGAACCAGCATTTGGACAAGCATAGGCTGGAGGGTCTTAAAAAAAAAAAAAGACCAGAATAATCAAGAAAAGGGCACAGATTTCAAAGTCAGAAGAGTGTGGTCACTAGCCCACATGAGGGTGAGCAAGACAGGGTTCTGGGTTTGTGTCCAGTGCCAGTTTTTGGCAGTGAGTCTCTGATGGAGAGAGAATGAAGATGAGGTAAAGATGAGGTGTGGGAGGAAGGGAGTGAGCTTCCTGGGGCACCACTTGGGCATGGTAGCCAGGCTAGGAAACAGAAGAAAGATACATAGCACTGTTTGTGTATCTCCCCGAGGCTGTGCGCTGTGCTGGCTTTTGTCTCTAATAAAGGCTGGGAAGAAGTAGGAAGAAACTTAAAAGTGCAGAAAGAGCCCTGCCTCAGCCAAGGAGCACCCTAGTCTGAGGAGAGGGCAGTCGTGGACTCAGTGGGACCCTTGCCCAGAGAAGGGCATAGTCTGCTATACTTGAGGATTACCAGAAGGTTGGGGTTGCTGGCCCCAGTGGGAAGAGGAATGATGGGGCCCGAGAGACTTGGTAGGGTGGGGTAGAGTAGGGTGGAGAATACATGTGCAGCATTTGGGAGGCTGAATTTGTGGCTAGGAGGGTGGTGCAGCCTCATGTTTACTAGGACAGATGAGGCCCAGCTGGAGAGAAGACACCTGCTGCTGTCTTAAGTGACAGCTGTCGGCCCTGTGTGGACTCAGGGCTGAGGGGCATTCCTCTCACCTGCACTCTTGTCTCCTCTCATCTCCCTCTAATTTTTTTTTGAGACGTTTTTGCTATAGGGCACGTGCGCTCGCCAGACAGAGACAGAGAGAAAGAAAGTGAGAAATCACCCCCCCAGAGGGGTTGGCCACGCTGCAATCCCTTCTCCTCCATTCTCCTCTCGGGATCCTGGGCATGCATGCACACGTGCCTGGCGTGAGTTTAAGCCACCGGGTCTGGGACTCGAACTGTGGTCAACTACATGGGAGTCCAGCGACATAGCCATTATGCTAACTGCTGGTCCCTCCCTCTCTCTAATTTTTCTTCTTAAGATTTCTTTAAGATAATTTTTTAATTCCCAGAGGGTGCATATGCTCACCAGAGAGAGAAGGAAAAGCACCTCCAGTGGGGCGTAGTCATGCCATAGTCCCTTCATTTCTCCACTCACACACACACACATGTACACACACATGCACACCAGGGTCAGGATTCAAACCACTGTCAACCATGTGTGTATCTGGCTCCTTTAACCACTAGTCTGTGGGAACAGCCCTTGTCTCAAGTTTTTGGCCTTTTTCCTGCCATCTCAGATTCTTGGGGGTCTTCTCCTTAGACTTACTCCTGGTCTCCTTTCCCCACTGTTCCAGGTCTCTTTCTTCCCTCTCATTTTCCTCACCCTCCTGGCCATGACTCTCTCACTCTTTGGGGCTGGCTTAGCCTCTCTTATCCTAAGCCATTCAGTCTCTTTCTCCCCATCATGCTCTGGATATTTCTTTCTGTTTCTCTTT